TACACAGACTTGTTTGGAAAAGTCAAGGAGCAATTAGGGGCAGTCGCCTTCACCAAACTCCCCAAGGTCAGAATTTCCTCCTTACAAACTTCCCAACCAAGTCTTCCGCCCTCTCCCACAGAGTTTTGACTGGAATCAGGGCAATTCCAGTACCGAGATCTGGGGAAGTGGTTCTCAAACATAGATGACTTTGCCCAGGGGACACTAAAATGTCTGAAAAGAGCCCTAGGCAGTTTGTCCCTGTGGATAGAGTGCTGGCCTGAGGACTGAAGGTTCCTGTGTTTGATCCCAGTCAAGGACACATGCCTGGGTTTTGGACTGGATGCCCAGTGTAGGGTGTGCAGGAGGCAGCCAATCAATGATTCTCTCTAATCATTGATGTTTCTATCTCTCTCTTCCTCTCCCATCCTCTCTGAAATCAATAAAATATATATTTAAAAAATAAATAAAATATCTGAAAAGAGGCTGCTAAACACCTATAATGCACAGGACAGCTCCCAGCAAGTACAGTTGTTATACAGCTTCCAGTGTCAACTGTGAAAAGGAGGGAACACCTATTCTAGAACAACACCTCTCCATTTCATAGGCATACAGATCACCAAAGTTTGCAGCTCAAATGCAAATTCTGATTCATCAGGTCTCCAATGGGCCCAGGGACTGCATTTCTGACAAAGCCCCAGGTGATGTTGATGCTGCAGGTCCTCCTGGTCTGTGGACCACACTTTGAGTAGGTGGTTCATGGCTCTGGGTCAGAGTCTGGTGTAGGTAATTTTAGGTCTTTTCCACTAGAAATCTTCTGTGTATGTAATTTTGAAAAACAAGTTTTCTCTCACTATAAAGGGGAGGATAATTCTGTGTTTGATTCTTTTATTTTAGGGCTCCACAGTGACATCAAAATTATTTATACCTGAGAAGGGCTTTGTCATAGGCAGAATAAGGGCCTCAAAAGATGTCAACATCCTGATTAGGAGAGCTTTGGAATGTTAGCTCACAGAGCAGGGTAACTGAGACAGATGAAATAAAAGTATTAGCTAAGGAGCTTAGCTCAGATTACCCAGGTTGGACTAATGTCATCACAAGGGTCCTCTGAATGTGGAAGAGAGTAGAAGAAGGATTGGAGTCAGAGACACATTAGAAGATGCTATGTTGCTGGTATTGAAGTTGGAGGGAGGACCATGGCCAAGGAATGCAGGTGGACTGTAGAATCTGGAATAGGAATTGAGAATAGGAAAGGATTTGGAATGGGATTGGAAAGGGATTTCATTCTACCCTGGATCACCCAGAAAATCCAAGCCCAGCAGTCAGTTTGTTCTAAGCCATTTATACCCATTTCAGGCATCTGCTCTCTAGAACTTTAAGATAGAAAATGTTTTTTTAAGCCACTAGGGTGGTAATTTGCTACAACAGCAATGGAAAACTGATATAAACATTTATCCAGTAAGATATTGTTAGAGGGAACTGAGGTTAAGCCTTGCAAATCATTCAGCTAGCTTCCCTTGAGCAAAGGTATGTTGGGTTGAAATCCCACATTACATAGAAAAAAATAGAGCTAATTTGAAGCTATTTGGCCCCATACATAGTATAAAAAATTTCCCATCATATAAATGTAAATGTGGTTCTGATCTTGTGGCCTTTCAGACACAAATATACAAAAAATAATTCATTAAAATTAAGGTCAAACATTTCACTTTAAATCTGTGTCAAATTTTCTATTTTTCTCTATTTCATGTTAATTCAGACATTTCTTTTTTATTTATATATTCTTCAAATTTCTCTCAAGGTGTCTTTCATAATAATAGATGGGATTATGAATGAGCTTAAGTGCATGTACATATATAAGTGTTAGTGTGTACATGAAATATATATACAAGTGAACACACTTACACACACTGCTCATGCTTGAACATTTTCTTTGGACTCAACAAAGTATATTTAACATTTTATTTATCCCTTGCAGCATCCATTTGAAGTAACGTTTATTATTCCACATTATCTTCAGAAAGAAGAAAACTGAAGACATGTGAAATACATTTTTGACAGAAACATAATGCAGTTAAAACTTGTTGTGCATCATCTCAACTTACATATAAATGGACCTACCCACTATATACTCTTAATTTTTATATGGCTTCTTTTTTAATACATGGCTTCTTTAAGTCAATAAGTTGTATATTTAAAATGTTTGCAGTTTGTTTTATGCAATTATACTTCAATAAATTAGTTAGAATTAAAAATTCTAGTAATTGATAACTCATGTCAGATCAGGAGCACAAGTAGCTGCATCACACAGGACAGTGGTGGTGAATATATCTTATAACTGGGAAGAAAGCAAGGTTTCATATATAAATATGGGAACTGTGATATTAAATTAAGGCAATTAACATTTGATCAACTATTTTTACATCAACTGTAAGATCAACACAAACACACATATATATGCATTAAACATCACATATTGATTGAAGAAAGAAGTGCAATACAGATGCACAAATCATGATGAAAGAGGTTTAGAAACATAAAGGAACAACTCATGATGAGCCCAGAATAGATCAGAACAATGTCCCACCATACAATCCCATTTAATTATGAAGGCAATATAGTCAAACAAGTCCTTTTAGGATGGCTTGTTATATAGCAACAGCTATCTGATACAATGAAAAAAGCAAATAAAACTGAGATAAATTTTAATCATATGCTATTCCCCATTTTAGGCATTTGTACAGACATTTGAAGGTAACAGTCATGATTACTCTGTCATTGAAGTTTATTTCAGATAAGTGCATTAAAAAGTATCTCCATTGAGGTTCCCTTGTAGGTAACCAGAAAAGGTTGAAAGAATATGCATGTTTGTGCAAAACTTATGACATAATCACAGAACTGGACAGGAATCCAAGCTCC